TGACATTGAACACTATCATAATCATTTCATGATTTACGTAAGTCAAATCATGATGTTGTATACCTTAAACTATATTGTCAATTATATCTTAATAAACACTGAAAGAAAAAATAGAAACATAAAAGACATAAATGGAGTGCAAAACTATGTTCAAAGATTGGAAGGTTTAATACAGGCATACCTCAGAGATACTGTGGGTTTGCTTACAGACCACTGCAATAAAGCAAATATCACAGTAAAGTGAATCATACAAATGTTTTGGTTTCCCAGGGAATATAAAATTTGTGTTTAGACTACAGTCTGTTAAATGTGCAACAGTACTATGTCTAAAAAAAATGTACATACCTTACTTAAAAATACCTTATTGCTGGGACTTCCTTGTTGGTCCAGTGGTTAAGACTCTGCCTTTCACTGCAGGAGGCACAGGTTTGATCCCTGCTCAGGGAACTAAGATCCTCATGACAAATGGTCGAAAAAGAGAAAAAAAAAAAAATGCTAACCATCCTCTGAGCCTTCAGTGAATCATAATCAATTTTTTTTTTTTTTTGGCATCCTTGGGTGGGCCTAAACATCATCTTTTTAAAAGTAACATCAAAAAAAAAAAAAAAGTAACATCAAGCAATTCCCTGGCACTCCAGTGGTTAGGACCCTACACTTCCACTGCAGAGGGCCAAGTCTGATCCCTGGTTGGGGATCTAAGACCCCACGTGCTTCCTGGTACAGCCAAAAATAAGTAACATCAGAGATCACTGACCACAGATCAGCATAACGCATATAATGATGATGATAAAAGTTTGAAATATTATGAGAATTACCAAAATGTGACACAGAGACATTAAGTAAGAAAATGCTGTCAGAAGACTGGTAACAATAGACTTTCTATTGTCTGTTATCTAGTGAAGGTTTGCCACAAACATTCAAAACCTTTCAATTTGTTGTAAAAAATGCAGTGTCGGTGAAGTGCAATAAAATGTGGTATACCTGTATTGTGCGGATGCTAATTCTCCCCAAATGATATATGGATTCAATGCAACTCAGAAACCCCAGTAAAGACTGTGTAGTGTACATGTGTGTGTAAACTGACAAACTGGATTCTAAAATGTATGAGGGCCAAGAACACCCAAGACAGTCCAAAGGAAACCCAAGAAGGAGAACAACTTCCTCTACTAGAGATCAGGAAAGCTACAGCGACAAAACCAAGACTGTATGGTGCTGGTATAGGAACAGACAGACAGACAGAACAAAATCCAGAGAGTGGCCTAAAGGAACGTGCAGACTTGAATGTTTGCAAGAGTGGCTCTTAAAAGCCCACACAAGGAAAGGATGGGCTTTCCAATAAATGATGCCGCATCAATTGGATATCCATGTAGACAAAAATGAGACCCCCTACTTCATACTACCCACATAATCAATTCTAGATAGATCTGACATCTGAATGTGAAAGCAAAGACAATACATCTTTTAGAAGAGAGCATAAAAGTTCGTGACATTTCAGCAAATATTTTTTAAGAGGAGACAAAATGGACTAACCATGAAGGAAAATACTGAAAAATTGGATTACATTACAATTAAGAACTTCTTTCAACCAAAGATGTTAAGAATGGGAGAAGATAGATTAAGATATACAATCCAAGGACTCATATCCTGAATACATACTATAAACCAATAAAAGATATACATCCCGGTCAATGAATGGGCAAGAGATATGAAGAGGTGCTTCACAAGAGAAGATTCAATTAGCCAGTAAACTGATGAAAAAATGCTCAACCTCTTTAGTCATCAGGGAAATGCAAATGTGAAAGTAAGTACTACTATACTCCACCAGAATGACTAAAATAAAAATGACTGACAACACCAGGTTTGGGGAAAGGTACAGAGGAGCTGGCGCTCAGACACCAGTGGAGGAGCATACACTGGTACAACTACTCAATTCCACTCTTGAGAATATACACCACCCCCCCAATATAATGCATATGAGCAACCAAAAGATGAGTACAACAGTGCTCCTGACAGCATGATTTGTCATAGACAAGAACTGGAAACAACTGAGATTGTCAACGTGGATAAATAAATGAGGGTGCACTGCACACGACACTGGGAATGAACAAACTGCAACCACATACTGTGACATGGGCGAACTGTGAAACTTGATGGTGAGTGAAGCCACTGCTTGTATGATTCCATTTATGTGGAGCTGGAAAACAGGCAAAGCTCCTGAGGAATTACCTCTAGGGAGGAGGTCTGGGGAGAAGGGAGGAGTTGATGACTAAGGGGGCTGCACGGTGGGCTTTGGGAGCTGGTGACACTGGGTGGTGACGAGATTAGCATCTTGTCCTAATTCATATTTGAGGACGGCAGTTTCCACAGTATGTTCTTCCATTAAACAGGAAAAAAAGAAAAGGTTGTCCTCACGGACTTGGAGCCTCAGTCTGTATCTCTTGGGGGCTGAGCAGGCAGATGGTCTGCACCTCACCCCCTTACCCTGGAGTTGCCTTATGCACTTGTAGCCTGTTGTCCTCAATTGTGTCACACAGACGTGTGCCACACCTGTAGGGACTCACTTCCAGCCTTAGAGACTGGCCCAAACCCCCAGCCCGCACGGCCCCTCAAAGTTGTGAATTTTCCTCAGCCCCACCCAAACACCCCTCTTTCCTTGAGTGGCTTGGTTCTCCGTCTCTGCCCTTTTCCCTGCCTAACCACATCCACATCTACCATCAAGCAGGCAGAGCTGTTCTCCCAGATACTTCCTTCCCTGAGGAATTCTCTGGCTAACCGTTTTCCCTGGTGGTTGTAATTTTGTGCGGTGAGACCACCATGAAGGTGTTTGTTGAGGGGTCCTGGAGTCCTGGCCCCTGTTTGCTGCCTGGAGCCGGCATTTCTTTTTCAGCTGGGGCTCAAGCACCCCTAATGAATACGTGCAAGGACCCCTTGGACAGTCACACAGAAGCGGGCAGAGGCTCTGACCCTCCAGCCACAGGGCTGGCTTTGCTCCTCACGGGGGCCAGCACGGGGACAGATGGCACAGCCCAGCCCTGCCCTTCCCACGAGGTCAGTGTGTGCAGCCTGGGCGTGAACAGAGCAAGGCGCAGAGGCCACCGAATGGCCCTGACCCAGCTTCCTGAGGGCCTGTGCTCACCCCTGAATTACTCTCTCTCAGAACCGTGGGGCTCTGCCTTCAGCTCTCCAATGAGAAAGGAGTTGTACCTGGAAGTCAGCGGTGTTGATTCTGGCTGGGAAAGGGAGGCAGAGGCCTCCAGGATGAGGTGACTGTGCTGTACCACATGGAGCTTTCCTGCCGGCCACTGTGTCAGCTCCTCCACGGGTCCAGGTGAACCTGCGCACTTAACCTTCTAGAAGAGTCAACAGTTCAGGAAGGACGTCTCCTTGTCTTCCTGTGCTTTGCACCCATGGACCCATTTTCATGGGACCCCCCCACCCCACAGACTGGCCTTTACTGCATTACGCTCTGCTTGGAGAGTAACAGCCCCTTGCCTTCAGCATCCCATTAAGAAAGGAAAAGTCGTGGCCGGAAGTCACAGTATCTGATTTTCGAAGTGCGGAATCCAATGAGAATCATCTTGAGCAACAAAATGAAGGGAACTGTTGGAAACCACTGCTGTCTGGGGTCTGCCTGTGGGTCCTGACTCTCCTCCCCGACTTACAGCGACAAGCCCTTGTTAACTCAGCAGCCCACAAGAAGTTTTTGCCCAACGCTGGCCTCTGATTCCCCTCAGACAGTAGTGTGCATCTAACCCCTTATTCGTTAAGATACTCTTTTGGTCCTACCCTAATTACCAAGTCCCTGCTAAGGCTGCAAGATAAGGGGATCTTGCTGGATCCAGTGGAAGACAAATGAGGAAGGGAAATAGCTGGGCAGGCTGAGGAGTTCAGGGAGGCCGGGGCTGGAGGGTAGGGGAGATGCTTCATTTGAGAATAGCTATAAAGGATTATAGGGGTTTTAATGGGGGAGAGAGACACGGTATTCAAGACAGAGAGATATAAGTGAAGTCTGGAGGGGAAGTCACCTGCAGATGGACCATGTGGCTCCCGGTGGCTGTGGCCGTGGCCCAGAAGAAGTGGGAACCCAGGGAAGATGTGGGAACTCGAGGGACCTAGATGGAGGGGCCTCTCAGGGACCACCTAACAGGTGGTCCTCCGGTCCTGACAGACCACCTGGAGGCTGGAGAGGGCAGGGCAAGCTACTGATGAGGTCCTGAGGTTCCCGCACCCCTGCCCACCCTCTCCCACCACCCCTCAGCATCATACAGGGAGGCCTGTTTCCAGGTGCCTTGTGATTTATTTCCAAAGGTGAGCTGCAGCACATAGGAAAATACACTGTGGCTTCTCAGTCTACATTTTTCCAGAGAAAATAGATCCTGTCATTGGCTTTTATCAGTGCCATCCCCGCCACCCCACCCCATTCTGTGAGGCTCCAGGAGGGATGGCCTGTCTCTAAGATTCTGCTCTCAAAGCAGCAGCTTGGCCAAGACCTCTGGGGGTCCGAGTGAGGGGAAGCGACCACCCCCACAGGGCGGGGGTTGGGGGTGGGCAGAGCACACGAACGGCACTCACTGCGAAGCTAAGGCAAAGAACAGAGCTGGCGGACGATGCCCCTCTCACCCCAGGGACACGGCGTGCCGAAGCCCGGGACACAGACCAGGCGGGCGCGGGGGCTGAGGGCTCGGGCCCAGTCTGGAGCAGCAGCAGGACTCTGTGTGTGTAAGGGCGGGGGTGGGGGCATGCTGAAGAGGCAGCCTACCGGGAGATGGAGGGGCTTCAGTTCACACGCTCCCCGTGCCCCAGCAGAGCTCCCGGCGTGTGGTCCCCAATTCTGTGCTTGGCCCCTGGCGTTAGCTCTATGTCAGGTGGGGGGGGCCCCCGCTCAGGTCCCTTCTACCATCACCTCCCCTCACACTGTCTGTGCAAAACATTCTCAGGGCCAAGCCTCTGAGTCCCCTGCACCCTGCCCAGGGCTGCAGGGAAGGGAAGAAAGGAAGGTGCTAGCTGGGAGCCTCGCCCAACACCGGGAACTCCTTGCACATCTCCTGGACGATCATGCGGTCCATCTGGCACTGGGGCGAGGCTTCCTCCTCGGTCAGGATGCGTCGCAGAGTGGCCTGCAGGTCAGGGAGCCGGTGGCGATGCTGCAGGTAGGGTGTGGAGCGGACCACGGCATGCATCAGGGAGAGGTACTCCATGCGCAGCTGTGGGGAGAGCAGGCAAGCTCAGGGATCCCAGGGAGGCGCCGTGTGCCACTGCCAGCAGACAGGGACAGACAGGCCACTACTGCCTTCTGGCAGCCACATGGACGTGACCGCCTGACACCACTGAAGATCAGGGCTGCACCCCAGCACCTAGCATGTAACCTGGCATTGAGCTGGCCTTCTATAGTCACTGAGTGAGTAAATAAGTGAATCATCTCAGTCCACACACAGTCCCAGAATGTGGCTGGCCCAGGAAGTCCTGGCTCAGAGAGGCGGCAGGAGGAAGCGGTGAGCCCCTACCCATCTCTAATGCTGGGCCCTTGTGGGGCTGCTGTCTGTCTGTTGGAGGCCCTCTGCCTCTCTCCTCTCACCCTGGGAGATCTCATTCATACCCACAGCTTCAAACAGTGATCCACACTCAGACCTCTTTCCTAGACTCTCCAGGAGCTGCAGGTGAGAATTTTCAGCTGCCCACTGGTCATGCCCTGCTTATCTCAGAGAGAACTCAAACTCCTGTGTCTACCATCAAACTCACGATCATCCCCATCTGCCCAAAGTTGAAGGCTTTTCCCGTGTTATCTTAATAAACAGCACTTCTGTCTGTTCAAATGATTGAGTCAAAACTACAAGTGTCCTTTCTGAGTCCTTTCTCCCCACATCCCGAACCCAACCCATCCCTGAGACCTGGTGTCTTACCTTCTACCTGCCCTGAATTCATCTCCAACCCTCCCTCCCAACCCACCCTCCCAGCACCTCTGGCTTTAACAGCCCCTCCAGTGTGACACCCCAGCTGCTCCTTATCCTCACTAGACCCTGATCCGCTGACTTGGCCCCAGTACTACTCCTCCATCTGCTCCCTTACCATCTCTCACGTCTCCGCCTCTGCTTAGAGGAGTCAATACCCAAACCTTTCTTAGGCAGTATCACCCTGCTAACTCCCAACCTTGGTCAGGCCAAAAAGCACCTGCCCATCAAATTTCAGTATGAACAGCTAAGCAGCAGACCATTACGGAGCCGTGCACAAGCCTGAACACCATTCCCCATCACAAACCATGCTGCCCAGGGCCGCTGCCACTTTTCTCCACCATGTCTACCACTCCTTAAAGGACCACTGCCCACCTCCTATGCATTTTCCAAGTCTAAAGTCCCTGACCAGCTGGCCGTGTGCTTCCTGGAGAAAACAAGCACACTTTCAGAAACTCCTGGTCCTCCCCTGGCACCCTCAGCTCAACTACTGTCCCCTACTGAATGGACTGCCCGGCTCCTGCCAAGGGCCATCCTTCTATGGGGGCCTGAACTCTCAGCAGCCGCCTGACCTACTTTTGACTCCCACAGTGGCTGACTCTCCCAACATCTCAGCCTCTTCTCCATAGTCGGCTTGCTGGATCAGTCCCTCTGGCTTAGACATCCACCAGCATCTCCCACCTTTAAAAGACTTTCTCTTGGAGTTGGTGGTCTAGTGGTTGGGAACTGCCTGCCAATGCTGGAGACACGGGTTTGATCCCTGGTCCAGGAAGATCCCACATGCCTCAGAGCAACGAAGCCCACGCACCACAACTACTGAGCCCCCATGCCTAGAGTCCATGCTCTGCAACAAGAGAAGCCACTGCAATGAGAAGACTGCACATGGCAACTACAGAAAGCCTGTGCAGCAACCAAGACTTAGCACAGCCAAAAATAAAATATATAAACAAACTTACAAAAAAACCTTTCCCTTGATCCCATGTCTCCCTCCAGTGATCCCGCACTTTTTTCTGCTCCCCTTCACATAAACAGAACAGAAGCAAAAGAGATTAAGAAGAGGTGGCAAAAATACACAGAACTATACAAAAAAATAACTTAATGACCTGGATAGCCATGATTGGTGTGGTCACTCACCGAGAGCCAAACATCCTAGAGTGTGAAGTCAAAAGAGACTTAGGAAGCATTACTATGAACAAAGTTGGTGGAGGTGATCGAATTCCAACTGAGCTATTGAAAATCCTAAAAGGTGATACAAGGTGCTGCACTCAATATGTCAGCAAATTTGGAAAACTAAGCAGTGGCTACAGGACTGGAAAAGGTCAGTTTTCATTCCAATCCCAAAGAATGTTCAAACTACTGCACAACTGCACTCATTTCACATGCTAGCAAGGTAATGCTCAAAATCCCTCAAGCTAGGCTTCAGCAGTACATGACCTGAGAACTTCCATATGTACAAACTGGGTTTAGAAAAGAGAGGGATGAGAGATCAAATTGCCAACATTCGATGAATCATAAAGAAAGCAAGGGAATTCCGGAAAAACATCTACTTCTGCTTCATTGACTATGTTAAAGTCTTAGACTGTGTGGATCACACAAACTGGAAAATTCTTACAGAGATGGGAATATCAGACCACCTGACCTATCTCTTGAGAAACCTGTATGTGAGTCAAGAAGCAATAGCCAGAACCAGACATGGAAAAACAGACTAGTTTCAAATTGGGAAAGGAGTACGACAAGACTGTATATTGTCACCCTGTTTATTTAACTTCTATGTAGGGCACATCACGCAAAATGCCAGGCTGGATGAATCACAAGCTGGAATCAAGATTGCCAGGAGAAATATCAACAACGTCAGATATGCAGATGATATCACTCTAATGGCAGAAAGTGAAGAGGAACTAAAGAGACTCTTGATGACGGTGAAAGAGGAGAGTGAAAAAGCTGACTTAAAACTCTACATTCAAAAAACTAAGATCATGGCATCTGGTCCCATCACTTCATGGCAAATAGAAGGGGAAAAAGTGGAAATAGTGATAGATTTTATTTTCTTGAGCTCCAAAATCACTGAGGAAGTCATGAAATTAAATGACTCTTGCTTTTTGGAAGCAAAGCTGTGACAAACCTAGACAGTGGGTTAAAAAGCAGAAACATCACTTTGCCAACAATGGTCCATAGAGTTAAAGCTCTGGTTTTTCCATAAAGAAAAACCATAAAGAAGGCTGAGTGCTGAGGCATTGATGCTTTTGAACTGTGGTGTTGGAGAAGACTCTTGAGAGTCCCTCGTACAGTAACAAGATCAAACCAGTCAATCCTAAAGGAAATCAGTCCTGAATATTCATTGGAAGGACTAATGCTGAAGCAGAAGCTCCAATCCTTTGGCCACCTGGTTCAAAGAGCTGACTCAATGGAAAAGACCTTGATACTGAGAAAGACTGAGGGCAGGAGGAGAAGGGGGTGACAGGATGAGATGGTTGGATGGCATCACCAACTCAATGGACATGAGCCTAAACAACCTCCGGGAGATAGTGAAGGACAGGGATGCATAGTGGCATGCTACAGTCCATGGGGTCACAAAGAATTGGATTTGACTGAGTAACAAGTTCTAGTTCACATAAAAACACATGAGAGTTGTTTCCATTCAATGCTCCCACCTTCCCCCTCTTTCCACTCCCGTCCAATGTCAAATCTTCTCTTCAACTTCCCACTTGGACTCTCTTCCCCCCACTCCACTGACACTGCTGGTAAGTCACCCCTGACCTCCGTGTGGCAAGTCCTGTGGCTCCTTTTTAGGCCTTGTCTCATTCAGGCTCCTCACTGTGGCAACAGCTCATCCCCTCCTCTTTCACACACAAGTCTTTGGGCTCCTGCTCTCCTGGTTTTTCCTCCTGAGTGTCTCCTGTGTGCCCCGACTGAAGCCTAAGCTTCCCTCTGACCCATGCATCCCACACCTGAGGTGCCCGCACTGTCACAGGCTTCCCGGCACATGTATGCACAGCACACTCCCAAGTATCTCTTTCCTGTCCCCACTCACATCCCAGTGCCTCGCTGACGTCCTCTGTACCTGGATGTCCAGCAGATACCCTCTCAATCTCGACACATCAAAACACAACTCTGTTCATAAGGTCTTCCCCACCTGAGGGATCAGCACTTCCTCCACCAGGCTGGTCCAGACCAATCGAGCAGTGAGTCCTGCCAACCCACCTCCAACACACCCAGGCCTGACCTCCCCTCCCATGCCACCTGTGCCACCTGGAGGGCGGCGGCGGCCTCCGCACCAGCCTCCCGCTTCCGCTGTGCCCTCACAGCCTCCATTTCATTCAGGATGGTAATCAGGTCACTTCCCCTACAAGGTGACCACCTCCTGCCGCAGCCCCCAAGGCTTCGTGTAAACTCCACTTGCTCCTCTCACCTCCCGCCACTCCTGCTGTCTCCAGACAGCGTCCCCGGTTCACCACACGGCGGGCTCCCTTGGGTCTCGGCACACCTGGCTCAGCTGAGCGGCCCCCCCACTTACCGGCTCCAGTGGTGGCCCTCACCCTAGTCTCAGATCCCCTCCCAGCTGTGACAGCTTCCACCCCGTTGCGGCCGCATCCAGGCACCTTGTCTCCGGGCGACAGGTCCGCGATGTGTCGCACGGTGATGTCGATGAGCGCCATCATGTCCGTGTGGTAGAAGATGGAGGCCGTGGCGGGGCTGGCGAACACGTCCTGCAGGAACTTGAGGATGGAGTGCGGCGGCTGCGGCTCGTGCTTGAAGATGCGCACGGGGTCATCTAGAAGGTGGGGAAGAAGGGTCAGGTCTGTCCTCCAGGGAGGGCCAATGTCACTCCAGGGAGTGATGGGCATCACGGCGGCGGGGGGGGGGCGGTCACAGGACATCCAAGTGGCCCCGCGCAAATGCGGGGGCGCTCACCCCCTCTATTCAGGAGCAACAGCAGCTTCTCAGAGAAGATCTTGACGTTGGCGTGTTTGCTCAGGGCGGCCATGATCATGTTCTGGTCTGGGACTGAGAAAGGACACGGGTGTGCACGAGGGCAGCGGTGCTGAGCCTGGCGGGCCCTCCTCCACCCTCGCAGCACGAGGCAGCCACCACCCGCCACCCAGGCAGGCCCCGCTCTCACCTGGCAGGTGCAGGTTGAGGGCCAGAAGTAGATTCACACAGAGATCCGGCAGCTGCTCCGTGGTATCCAAGGGCAGCCCGTCCTCAACGATGCTCAGCAGGAACTGGGCAAAGGGTGTGCCCAGGTGCTCTAGGCAGAGGGGCACACCGAGGTCTGCAGCCCAGCCCCAACGCCCACCCCGCCCAGCCTCCCTGGATTCCCATGAGCCCTGGGGACACTCTATGAGACCCCGGTCACAGGGTCCCCAGCCATGAGGCCATGGGCTCCCTGCGGTCAGCTGGGCTGCGTCCTGCCTTCTTACCATAGTGTGCGTAGGGCACTGCCTCGCCCATGGAGAAGACCATGGCCAGGATGAGGGCGGAGTAACAGAGCTTCTGGTGGTCTACAGGGGTGCAGAGCAGGTGGTCAGAGCCCCTACAGGTGGCAGGAACCCCCCCCCAGGGGGCAGGGAGCTGCCCCTCACTCGCTCACCCTGCGTGTCTGTCTGCATGTCCCGCGCCAGCTCCACGGGCAGCACGGACGACACAAGCGTGGAGATGATGGCCGCATCCAGGCTGCACATGGCGCCAAAGCACTTGAGGAGCAGCAGCCGCAGCGACACCCGGTGCTCCTGGCAGGGGACCCCGTGTGCGCTCAGTTCCCGACACCCCACCTCTGCCCAGGCCCTCCGTGCCCCACCCCGCTCTCACACACACACCATTTGGTAGTAGGCCACCAAGGCCAGGACAGACTCGAACTCATTCCGCTTGCACATTTTCTTGCAAACTTCAGGGTCTGCGTCCGTCTGCGGGCAGGGAGGAAGAGGTGTGAAGGAGTCGCTCAGTGTGCGTGGCCACCCATGAGCGTGCCGAGGACCAGTAGGGGAGACTCCCAAGCATGGGGGAGGCATGGGGACACCTGGGGGCCCCCAGCCCGCACCAGAATGTGCAGCAGCTCCTCCAGGTAGCAGCGAATGACGCCCTCGTCCTCATACAGGGCCCAGCTGCGCTGCTGGGCATCATCCTTCCGCCGGGCCAAGTCTGTAAAGATCACCTCCAGCCGCTGCTGGTCATGGCAGACCTGCCCTGAGGGCAGGGCGGTGCTCAGGTCCTGTGGGCAGAAGCAAGGCGGGGCTCAGCACATCTGCCCCGCACCATCTCCAGGAGGCCCACGAGGCCTGGGGCTGAACCCTCCCAGCCTGTGTCAGACCAGGGGCCCCGGGCCTCACCTACAAGGGCTGCCTGGAGCCAGCGTCCTCCCAGGACGGGTGAGGGGACCAGCCCCCGGTTCTCTTCCCTCCTTCCCGCTGCTCCCCATCAACTTCCCACGGCCCATCCCTCAACGAGGCCCCCAAAGGCACCAGCCCTGTTCTACACACCCTCTCCAAGGAATTCCACTGCCTCCAAGTCTTCTCCCCCTGCCCCCCGCCCCCCAATAAATGAGCAGCTTATCGGATCTTATTTTCCTGACCAGGGATTGAACCCTTGGCAGTGAGAGCAGAGAGTCCTAACCACTGGACTGACTGCCAGGAATTTCCGGGCCCCTGAGTCTTAATAACCTCCTGAGACAGGAGTCTGCATGAGACACGTCTGGGGGGAATTTTCCAACAACCGGCTTCCTGTCCCAGGCCTGGAAAAACATCCTCCGTGAGGAGGAAGGCCACAGACTTCTCACTGCCTGCAAGTGACTCAGAATCTACCCTGATTCTACACAAAGTGGGACAGGCCTGTCAACCCACCTCCTGTGTTCCTCTTGACCCTGCTGGCCACTGCTCCCGCACAGGCAAGCCTGTGGCCTCCCTGCTCCCCACACCCCAGACCGGAGCTGCAGCTCCCAAGGAAGGAGGCACTTCCAGCCCATCTGGCCCCCAAACCTGCTCCCTGATCAGTGGCCCCACCTTGGCAAAGGATGCCACCCATCCCACGATGCCCACCCACCGCCCCGAGTCAGCACTCAGGCCTCCATCACAGCTCTCAAAGCACCCAGTGCTCTCTACCGCCAAGGCCAGCGTGGCACTGCCCTCTTTCAGGCCCTCCGTCCATTCCTTCCCCGCAGCCCAAGAGAACCTCTGGCCACCCCCAGCTGTCTCCTCTGTCCCCTGCCCGAGGTCTCACTTCCAGCCACACCTCTTGTTCCCTCCCTCCCTCCCTTGCGGTGTTCCAGCCATGCTGGCCTCGTTCCAATCCCTCCTGTGAGCTGAGCACGGGGTGCTGCCTTATGGCCCTCATCCAGGCTGAGCCTCTGCCTGCAGAGGCTTCCTCCCTTTCTCCTTCACGGGTTGGCCCCAAGAGTCCCCAACACCCAGCACAAGGAAGCCGAGAGCGCGAGCTCAACAAATACCTGTCAGGTAAAGGCTGGACACATGTGCGGGCGGGGAAGGGGCAGGGGTGGCGGGGCGGCCCCTGGCCCTGGCCCTGGCCCACCCTCACCTTGCCCTCCACCAGCGAGAGGAGGACCTGCTCCATGACAGGTGAGCTGGCAGGCACGGAGGCCTGGATGTGGCCCACCACGACGCCAATGGCCACGCGGCAGAGCTCGTGGCTCAGGCCGGTGTTCCTCCGCACGAGCTCCATCAGCTCTGCGCCGATGGTCCTGGGCACGGCCAGCTCAGCCGCCACCTTCTCCTCTGTGGCCCCCAGGCTCAGTGCCCCCAGGGCCTCCAGCTCATCAGGGGCCGGGGCTGGGGCTGTCTCCACTGCTGCTGCCGCCGCCTCTTCCTCTGTAGGGGGCTCTGGGTCTGGCACCTTGCAGGGAAGGGGCTGAGCCTGGGACACCGCAGTAAGCACGCCTCGGCGGGGCACAGGCGGGGGCGTGGGTGAGCAGCTGGGGCCCGGCTCGGATGAGCTGGAGCCGGTATAGAGCGTGTCAAGGGAGGTGCTGCTGACGGAGCCGCCACTGGACACAGAACTGCCCCCGGAGGGCGTGGTGCTGTGGCTGCCTGTGGGCAGAGAGGGGACGCTGTGCTGGGGCAGCCCCCTGGGGACCCCTATCCCCCCAGCCCCAGAGCCCCCAGCCATCCCAACACGTGCCCTGTCTTCACCCCCAAGCCTGGAGCCCCCAGTTTTCTGACATAGGCAGAGCAACCATTCTAAGCACAGGGTGCCCCCAACTCCCCATTCCCGCCTTCTCACCACTCCCGGAGACTACCAGGGCGTCCCGGTCTCGGCGCTTCACAGGTGGGGGTGGCGTGGTGGGTGCTGCTCGGCGAGGCTGTGGCGGGATCTGGGAGGACAGAAGTGGGATCTGAGGGCACAGACTGCCATCTGTGGTGCGGCCTGAGCTCGGCAGGGGCAGGACCAAGGCTCCAGGCGGCATCACTGACCGGGGTGGATGCTTGGAGCCTCCGGACAAAGCCTTAAGCGCCCCCCCACCCCCACTCCCATTGCCCAGGCTGCTCTCACCACGTACCTGGTAGAGGCCTCCGTCTGCCCCGAGATACTCAGAACTGGGCAGGCTGTGCTGCCGCTCGAACCCAGCTCGACACATGCCATTGGGCTGCCTGGTGGCGGCGGCGTCCAGATGGTGGTCACTGGTGGACGGGGTCATAGCTGCAGGGCTGGGGGCGGAGGGGCCTCTGCGGGACAGGGTCTCTTTCCGGTGGTGGATCAACTTCCTGAGGCAGGGACAGGGAGGTTACTGGGGGAGTCACCTTACAACTCCCCAAGTCCGCCCGTGCTCCCTGAGGGACACTGCCCACCCTAGCCCAGGGCCCCCACCTCCCATCACCCTCATGCCCCACCCGCCTCTGCACCACCAACCCTACCCTCAGGGTCTCTGAAGGACCCCATCTTCCGGGCCCACTGGGAGGTCCCCCCAACACACACACACACACTCACTGGAGGATCCCGCGCTGCTCCAGGCTGTATTTGCCACCATCCCGCATGGCAGCGTTGTGCACAGCCTCAATGGCCCGGTCAATGGCTTGGAGGACATCCTGCTCCAGGCCCTGTGTGGGGGCAGGAGTGGGCTCTTAGCCCTGGGGGCCAGCTGAGGGTACGGAGGCCAGAGCCAGCCCTGGAGGGAGCCTGGCGCAGACAGAGGACCACAACTGCTCTCAAAGCCTGGAATGCTAGAGGCCAACATAGCAAGATGAACTAGAATATAAATCGGGGTTCTCAAACTGCGTCACTCGGGAAGCTGGGCCACAGGGAGGGGCCCAGGCTTTATATATCGGGCCCCCGCTCGGGATTTTACCTATGGCAAGTCTCTCGGCCAAGTCATCTCTGAAAGTCTGGGCTCTGAAGCAAAAACACAGCCCACGGACCCCCAGTTTGAGGCCAGGAGTGCACACTTAGTCTATCGCCAGGCTTGGCTCGGATCCCAGGCTTAGATGCCAAGCAGGGAGCCTCTAGGGTCTGGAGCTCTGAACAAATCCCTCTGGATCTCGCTGACCCGTCACAAAACCAAGGCCACACTCCAGGACAGCCCCGTCCTCAGAGAGCCTTCTGCAGGCCCTGGTAGCTGAGGACAGGCCAAAGGGATCTCCTCTCTACACCCGCGTTGCCAGCCCTCATCCCTTCTAGCTATGAGAAAGGAATCCTCCAGAGCTGTGCTGGGAAACAGCAGTTCTGGGTTTGTGCAGAAGACAGACATAAGCGCAGAACCTGGCCCCTGCCCCAGATTTTGTGTTACCATCGAGAGCAACTCAGGGGTCTCCTCGACCCAGCCTGGCTAGCACGGGGTGGGGGGAGTAGGGGGCTGGCAACTGCAGGACCAGTCACTCCCACCCCTCCCTTGCCCTTGGCACCCATGGTCCATCAGGCACGGGGCCTCAGAACTAAGGTGGGATCACACCAGAGTGGGTTGGAGACGCTTCTCAGATGGGGACAGACAGATGGACTCAGAGGTCAGCAGAGCCCCCCAGGTAACAGGGGGTGTGTCAGAGGGCAGGAGATAGCAGACAGAAAAGGGGACAGAGAGAGAACTGCAGATGATGCACAGAAAGCAAGAAAGATGGAGAGACAGAGAGGGAGGGAGGGAGGGAGAGAGGAAAAGAGAGAAGCAGAGGGAGACAACGCAGAAAGAAATTGAGATTCGGAGATAGAGAAGGGGAGAGAGTTGGAGGATGTGGACACACACAAGGGGAGGGTCAGAATGACACAGAGACAGCCAGGGAGACTGAGACGGAGGGAGATATGCAGCAAGAAGCCAAGAGACAGAGAAGATGGTACCCTCTCTGCCCCCCCCAAACACCCAGCCCCAAAAGCCAAGGCAGGGGAGGGGCCTCACAGGCCCTGGGGGGAAGTGGGGGACCTTCCTTGGAGGCCTCCAACAAGCCCCCAGCCCCAGAGAGACTGGCTCTGATACGCTCACTTCCAGACCCAGCAGCCCTGGTGTTCGGGGCTCCCACTCTCACCCAGACACTCCTGGATGCCAGGAGGCCAAGGGTCCAGGGCCCCAGGCCCATCCCCTCGGGTAAAGGCCACAGATGACATCTCCAAATTTATCCTGTTATTTCTGTCCTGAACTGGGCCGGCTTGGGATGCTTCCTACAGGCCAGAGACTAGGATGGGGCGGGGGTGTCTGGCACAGGGCAGGCCTGGAGGCTCTGGGCCCTCCTTCCCCCTGGGATCAGAATAGACCAGCGGGAGACAATGCAGCCCAACCCCCACACCAGGGCTATTCTGGGGGAAAAAGGAATTGGGGCTGCACTTCCAGTGGAAGGAAACAGGGGGGCCATGGCCACACCAGGGGAAGCCGTGGGGAAGTCCCACTTCCTTGCTAAGGGAGTAGCCCCCCACCCCAGGCTGGGGACAAGGAGGGCTCAGGTTCCCTCACTTTCCAAGAAAGGAAGTCTGAAAAGTCAGGGCCTGAGGCTTGTGGAAGGGGAGAGGGAAAGTAAGTGCCAGGAAGTGTCAGCAGGAGCTGGGAGATTGACGAAGGTGTTTTTGGAAGAGCTTAGGGGCTGACTGAGTACAGGACAGTAAAAGACATTGGGGTCTCAGGGCTTGTGTCACTTAGGGGGTGGGGGTGTCCACCGCTCCCTGGTCCAAGTTGGGGGTGGGTGGGATGGGAGGGTGAAGACGTAGAAGATGGCTGGGGAAACAGAAAGCGCCCAGGGTTGCCGGGGGTCTCAGGGGTGGAAGCTGCGGAAGAGGAGGCAAGAGTGTTGGGATCCTGGTGATCCAGGCGAGAGGCCAGTTAAGTCAGGGGTCTCAGGGACCTGGGGAACTGCTCAGAATCTGGTGTACTGGAATCTGGTGTACTGGAATCTGGGGGCTGACTCTTGAATTGTATTCGGCTGGGGATTCAGATGTTGGGTCTGGGGGTCTCGGTCCCACTGTTAGGCTTTAGGTAGGTCTGGAGTCCTCAAGAGTTGGCTGTCAAGGGCCTGGTCCTCTGTGGGGGGAGCGGGCTCTGAGAGTCCCAGTCCTCGCGGGGTCTGTCGGTCAGGTTCTCAAAGTCCTCGTCTGCTGGAGGCCCCGACCGGGCGGTGATGGCGCTCAGTCCAGGGGCGGCGGAGGCCGGGCCGGGGAGGGGTACACTCACCTGCAGGCGGCGCAGGTAGGCGGGCGGCACGTAGCCGGTCTCACCGCTGCGCGCCCGCGCCGCCAGCCACCAGTGCGCGCTGCTGCGCTCCAGCACCAGAAAGGTCTCGCCCGCGGCAAACGCCAGCGCGTTGGGCTCCGCCGAGCGGAACGCGTACAGCGCGCGGTACATGAGGCCGAGTCGCGCCGGGGCAGGGGAGACGGCAGGGGGCTGAGGAACCAGGACGCCAGGCCGGCACCTCCTAGCCGCGCTCGCCCTGCCCCGTGACACACGGCGCGTGCGCGCGCGCGCCCGCCCGCCCGCCGCAGTCCCGCCCCGGCAGTGGGTCGGCTCCTGCGCGGGAGCGCAGCGCCCCCTGGCGGCCCCAAGGTGGGGGCGGCGCGGCGCGGCGCGGCCCTTTCTGGGGCCTTGGGCGTCTCCAAGCTCCAGACTCCCTGACCCGGCACCCCGCCTAGAACCCCAGCTGCTCCTGCCCGGCCCTCCACTCCTTTTACCACCTACTTCACGAAGGAGAGCTCCGCCCGCAGCCCAAAGGCAGAGCCTACGTCCTGTGCTGATAAGCCTCTTGCATCTATGCCACCCTGGGGAAGTGGATCCTGACCTACTAAATTAAGGACAGCGACCCGGGTCTCCTCTGTGTCTCGGAGCGTGCTGACCTCACTTCTTTAAGCTCCAGCGGTGGGCAACGGGGAGCAAGAGTGGAGAGGGGGCTGCCGAACCAAAAACCAGGTCAGGCCATTTTGCTGTCCATAGTCCTCCCATCCTAGCTCCCCACCTCTTCTCTTCTGCCACTAACCTCTCTGCCTCTCTAATGTGGGTCCTTGCATATCTATTCCTCTGCCTGTGACGCTATTCCCCTCCTCACAACATAAGGTCAGGCTCCCACCCTTATTAGTCACTTTCACATCACTCTCTTCTGTTGTCTTTGGAGACTTAAAATTCCCAGTTATCTGAGAGCAGGTAGATGAGAGCTGGTGGATGGGGAGTGGGGTATCATGTGGCATTAAGAGCCAGATATTTGGCCCACCTTCCAGTCAGCCCTAACCTGGTGAGGTCATTGTAGTCCTATGAGGCAGCGGGGAAAAACCAAGGGGACCTGGGTTTAGTTAAACTCAGAGTCCTGGGGACCTCCCATCCCCGTCCAGAGGCTGGTCCAGCCACATTCTTCTCAGGAAGCCCAGACCCAGGGAGCAGGTAGGCATAACCCAGCCAGTGTATGCAGTTGGATGATTTTGGATACAGTGGATGTAGGCATAGCGGACCTGGGAGAGAAAGTGCTGAGAGGTTCAGGCAAAAGGTGGGGCTGCTAGACCTGGACATCCAGATCCTCCTTTCTAGTTCTGTGTCCTTCTCCCACGTGCCTGTGTCAGCAGTTCAAGATCTCCTGCCACACTTCTCCCTGGCACCCTCTGAGAACAGAGCAGAAACGGCTCTCTTGGGGGCTGCCCAGGCTGGAACCACATGAAGGATAGCACTGGCGTAGCTGCAGTGGGCTCCAGGGCTAGATAGGAGTGCTGGCAGATGGTGTGACCAAGAGGACCACACGGCCCTGAAGACCCCCTCCCATCAAGCCCCCCACCTCCTGGGACCTTTACCACAGAGCCAGTGGCCACCAACAGACAAAAGACTGGTGGCCACCTGAGGTCCCATGATTGGCTCCAGGATGCCTGACATCACAATGTCTAGCCAATCAGCTGCTGCCAGTAGCACAGGAGCGGGACCCAAGGCTAGGCACACCTGCTGTCCAACTCTGGCTGAAGCTACGTGAGGGCAGGGAAGACCTGTGTCAAGTGCAGTCCTCTGCGTAAGCGTCCTGGGATGGACCCATTTAAGGTTATGCCTGTGGGCACTTGGTTAAGGCACTGAGGACTTAGCCAAGAGGCTATGGTGACTCCAGGGCCCATGGGGTGGGGGCAGTGGCAAGGAGGACACTGCTGGACCAGGGTGGAGGTTGTGGCATGTGTGACATTTCTGAGGGTTGGGAGGGGGGCTGGCTTCCGGCCCCCTATCCGTGGCAAGAACGACAGCAGCACTGTTACAGTTAACAAAAAGATTTGTATTAGAACATTTACACTCAGGGAAGAAAGAGGTATCTGCATCATCAAATGTGGAATGTCGAAGAAATAGTTAAAATAAATAAAGACTCCGAGCGCGGCTGGGGCTGGCTCAGGCTGAGATTCACAGAGGCCTCTGCGCATCAGCTCCAGGCTGCAGGGCCACCGCCTGGCCATACGGGCCGCCTCCCAGACACAGCACAGCTGTGCCCGGGACACAGAGAGTCTCTCAGGTGCTGGTGCAGCCAGCGAGCTCACTCCCCGCTCTCCTCACTTATCTCTGTGACAATGTCTATCAGGCTCTGGAGCCCAAAGATATAGCCAGCATCCTGGCCTTCGTGGACCACACTGTCCTCACCATACAGCCTGCACGTGGTGTGTGCGAAATCGATCATGCGCACATCCACTGAGCTGGTGCCGATGGGCTTGTAGGCATAGGCGCCGGCCGACTCGTCAGCGGACTCCTCTGACAGGTCCTCCAAGTCCTCCGCGTCTGAGTCCAGGACCACTTCAGGCCGCTCCTTGCCGTCGTAGATGATCAGCAGGGAGCTTGAGTAGAAGCGGTAGGATTCTTGTCGCTCCAGCACGCCCTTGAGTTCAGTCAGCTTCCTGAGCACCGGGCCCAGGAGCTCCCGGCGCAGGTACCGGCCATTGTGGAAAAACTGGAAAAGTGCCTCCTTGAAGCCCTGTACCGACAGCTTCCGTCCGTGGTACTTGTTCATGAACATGAGCTGCCCACTGCCCGCCTGGTACACCTGTAGGAGGGAGACCAGCAGGTCAGGGACTGACAGGCATCTCAGGCAGAGATGGCCCAGCCCCAGGAGAGTGGCAGCAAGACGACAGCCTGGACCCGATCCTTCAACTTAAGCACACCAGTCACACGAGGCCCTGTCCTTGCCAATCAACACCCACTGGGATACAGCCCTCTGCTCAGGGTGTGGGCTAGTGGAGAGTGCCCAGTGTCTCCCCTTTCTCCCTCTCTGGTCCACAGCTTCTGGACTCAGTCAGGTCGGCCAGTCCCAGAGAGCCTTACGCACGCACACAGGCTTTCCTTTCTCACCAGAGAGCAACAGATCAATCACATCTGCAATCTCCTGAGAAGGGGGCTCTGCCGCGGGGGGAGTGCCCGCCCCCGCCGCGCGCCGACACGCCTCACCTGCATGCCGCACACGCGCACACCGATGACTGCCGACGTGCTCTGCTGGCACTTGCGGATCTGGTTAGCTGCCTTCTCCTCGGAAGCGTCGTCACCATGCTGGCGCGTCCCCATTTTGAGGTCCAGGACACAAGGCACCTCGTAACGGGAAGTCAGGTTCTCCAGTAAGATAAATTCTGAGTGGTTAAGGACAAGGCCCCTCTGAAAAAAAGGTGCTGCTCCATGGCACTCCCAGGGTGCAGGGCCTGCACATGGCATCCCAGAAATCCTGCTGTCTCCCAGGCGGGCAGCCCAGGGCTGACCAGAAGACTAAAAGGCACCTGCAATTCTTGCCAGGGAACTGGCCTGAGCACAGCATGGGAAACATACACACCATTTCCTGAACTCAGCAAGATGTGGGACCACAGTCCAACAACATCCTGTCCTAAATCACAGAACATCAGTAAATTCAGTAATCCCAATATTAAATAAGAACTAGAAACATCACTTAGGAACTCATTAAGTTTTCTCTTTTGAAATAAATACGTATTTCCCAGATGGGGACACTGAAAAGGCCGAAAACAATGACCAGATGTACAAGTTCCCCTGGGGCTTCCCAGGTGGTGCTAGTGGTAAAGAACTTGCCTGCCAAGTCAGGAGACATAAGAGACGCAGGTTCTATCCCTGCATCAGGAAGATCCCCTGGAGGAGGGCATAGCAACTCACTCCAGTATTCTTGCCTGGAGAATCCCATGGACAGAAGGGCCTGGCAGGCTCCGGTCCACAGGGTCGCGAAGAGTTGGACACAACAGAAGCGACTTAGCACAATGCCCAGCCCAGTGCTCCCAGAGCGTGGACTGGTGAACCACGGCCCCCCACTCACTGCTCTACAGCTGGTAAGTTAGGAACAAGGGGTTCTTAGAAATGCACTTTTTCTTTTTCTGGTCACATGGCCTGTGGGACCCGAGTTCTCTGGTTAGGGATTGAACCCGGGCCCTTGGCAGTGAGAGCATGGCATCCTAACCACTGGACCACCAGGGAATTTTCAGTTTTCATATTTTTAAGAGGTCAGAAGTGTATATAATATTTCATGACACATGAAAGTTGAATGAAATTCAAGTCTCAGCAACCATAAATAAGAGTTTAACTAGAATACAGCCACGTTCATTCATTTACATCATCTATGGCTGCTTTCATGCTACAAATGACAGAGCTGTGATACAGCGTATGGCCTGCAAAGTCTATACTATCTGGCCCTTTACTGAAAAAGCTCGCAACCCCTGCCTTAGAGGAATGACTGAATTCACATCTGGAGTACGAAACATATCTGACCCTGTACCGTCTCTTCATTCCAAAAAGTAAGGCAGCTATCACAGACGACTATGCTTGTGTAAAAATGACTCAGGAGCCTATTTAAAAAGACTCCCACTCGCCAAGCGTGGGACAATTGTAGCATCAGAGATAACTGCAATGAACTAAAACACGTCAAATATGTTTAGGGAATTCCCTGGCAGTCCAGTGGTTAGGACTTTCTACTTCCACTGCAGGGGGTACAGGTATGATCCCTGGTCAGGGAACTAAGATCCCACATGCCACATTCAAAAACTTAAACAAATTCATGGGTTCATGATGATGCGGAAAACCTCACTGGTTACCTTTGGAGGATGTTAAGAAACCATCTCATTATTTCAAATAGTAAACTAAGGAAAATAAACATTTAACCTGCCTTTCCTATTTGAACTATACTTCATAATAAGCACGTAGTTGATGAGGAAAAGCTTCTCTTTACAGCAGGATTCCAGCTTGTGAATGAAAAAGGAACAAAAAAACCACCTAATTAAAAAATGGATCTAAGGCAATGGCAATACAAAAGAGAAGGACGATGAAACTCTGCTTCCCAATCAACAGGTAAATACCATCTCTGATGGAGTCTTGCCCCCTCTTCCTCAAACTGACCCTGAATCTGATCAAGCCTGTAGATCAAACTATCAATTTAATGCAAACAGAGGGGAAAGAGTAATGTGTAAAAGACACCACAAGATGTAATCAGTAAAATCCAGAGGGTGGGTAACTCTAGAAGACCCAGTTTCTCTGACAAGAAATTTCCAAGAAGAAAAAAACAAATGTATTTTAAAAGACTTAAATGATTCAACCGAATGCAACATATGAACATAATTTGGACCCGCATTTGAGCAAACCATAAATAAAACATTTATGAGACAATTAGGAAAATGGGAAAACAAATTAGATATTTGACAGTAAGGAATTACTGTCCACTTTTCAAGGAGTAATGATAGTATTAATGTTTTAAAATATCTTTATCTTTTAGAGATACATGCTGAAGTGTATACAGATGAATTATCTGACACTTGCTTCAGAGAGAGTTCAATTGGGGGTGCTGGGTGTATAGACACAGGAGACTGACATAAGTGGGTTAACCAACTGCTGAAACTGGGTGACTACTAGGTTCAATGCATTACTCTATAGTGTACATCCAGGTTCCCTGATTGAAAAAAAGAAAGGAACCTCTCTTTCCTTTGTGATTTCTTCATGTGGCAGCCTGGTAAACCAGACTGAAACATCAGTCCAACCCCACCGCACACCCTGGCAATTAAGCTCTACTTGGGGACTTCTGCAAGTGTGTGAAAACATAAACCAGCTCCTTGTACTCCAAGGTAAAGCACCCCAAATGCAAGTTGGTCCCTCCATGAGGTGACTCTCACCCCCAGGAACCCATTAAACTTCCTCACCAGCACCTGCATTCCCAGACCAGTCCTCAGCCCAGAGGGAAGTGATGCCTGCCCAGTTATCACACAGGGTGTCCTGGCACAACCATGACTTCAAAAAATCCAATTTCTCTCTCCAAGCCTGAAGGGTCTCCTCCCTTGTCCTCCCCTCCCGCCCAATGCAGAGATGCCCTACGAGCAAAGGATACTGTACTGGTTCCGATGTTTCGCATTCTCCTTCATTCTCTGTAACTGTTGCTGGTGACACTTCATGCTCCAAGGGTTGTAGTGTTTAAGCTGAGAACTTACATTCCCCTTTTTCTCTACACTGTAGTACAAAACTTCAGATTTCTTCAGCCACTCAAATTCTTCTTCTAACTTATGGCTATAAAGAGACAAGCAGCTGATAAGTCATAACATCTCATCAGAAGTCAGGGGCAAAGAGGCATGAAGGAACTTTCTGCAGTGATAGGAACTTTGACACTTTGATGTGGTGGCTGTTTCAGTGGACACATTAAACATTTCAAATGGGTACATTTTACTGTAGTATATCACATCTAAAGATAGGTGATTTAAAAAAAATTAAGGGGTTAGCTTGCTGCTTTAGGAAAACCTAAGATGCAAGGACAGCCCCTGCCTCCAGCCCACACCCCACAAGACAGCCTTCCGTGCTCCCACCTTCTAGGCAGTACCACTCCCTGGCTTCTAGTACATCCAAGTTCCCTAACTCAGGACGCTGGAGACAGAGGCTGAAGTGAAATTTCGTGAGAATAAGTCAATCTACTTGGCTACACTTTTAAAAAGAAAAATTATCTCTGGGTGTGCTCTGTGGGCTTTTCTCTGGTTGTGACGAGCAGGGGCCACTCTCCAGCTGCAGCACACAGGCTCCCCTTGCAGTGCCTTCTCGTGCTGCGTAGTGCTGGCTCTAGGGCACGCAGGCTCAGGAGCCGTGGGCACTGGGTTCAGCTGCTCTGAGGCCTGTGGGATCTTCCCAGACCAGGGATTGAACCTGTGGCTCCTGCACTGGCAGGCAGATTCTTTATCAGAGAGGCCAGGGAAGTCCTTAGCTACGTTTTTAATACATATACATACATAATTTATCTTCTCATAAGCTCTGTCAAGGTGTGCCACTTGGGAGGGCTCTGCCTAGGGGGATCCCCAAGATGCATCCATTCTGTCTCCCACTATCAGGGAACAACCTGCAGTAACGGATGGCTTCTGTCTGGGTCCCTGCTACATTCCCAGATGCCACGCAGGGCCTGGCATAGGACAGTTGCAGGAGGAATGAGTGGCTGAAACTCTCTCACAGCTGCCACGACACTTGTTTTACCCGAAATGGCGCAATCTAACTCAGAGTCAAGCAGAAAGCAGCTGGGCACGCCATGTGGGAACGGACCCGAGTGACAAGGCACCTACGAAGTCCATCATGTGCGTCCTCAGCCCCGGGGGACGGGCTATGCCTGAGGTCCCTCCCCTCCTCCCGAGTCCAGTCCCCTCTCAGGTCTATACCCACCTCTTCACCTTTTCCTCTTTCCGGTGTTGCCGTACCCATTCCTTAGAGGTCTTGTCCGTTTCTAGAACGTGATGTTTTTTGTTCGTCCACCTGAGCAGCTTACTTTTTGGTTCACAGTCTGAATTATCTACACTGTCCACAGTTCCATGGTCCCCTTTTAATGGATATGCTATTAAACACAAGTTCCTGTCTTCGTCTTCTTCGAAGCTCACGGATACCACACCTAGAAGAAGGGTGAGGAACATGGAAGACTTTCAGTTCCACAGGAATATGTGTTACAAATAACATGATTGGAACATTTGTTTTTTTCTTACCCTGTTCCTTAGTCTCTATGTTGCCAGAGGCCCCAAACTCATCTGCAAACCTAACAAATATCAAAACAGCTAGAAAAGATGACACCATACAAGACAAGCGATTAGGGAGCAAACATGGCCAAGAGTCTTCCTCTATGATTCACTCAACGAGGCAAGAGCCAAAGAATTACAAGACACATTTTTCCATCAATGAAAATTTTTATTAATTTTTATGTAATTCTTCTAATCCTAAGAGACATGAGGACATTTGCTTTTTAAATCTTGTGGGATTTTTTTACTACCTTAAACAGAATCTCCGACGGCCTTTAGGCTCGCTTTAAAGCAGAGCCTGAACAGAGATTTGCCTGAGGGGTAAGAAGTGTCCGAGGGTAAGGGAAGACTGGGCAAGCAAAACAAAATAAAGGAGTAAACACAACAAACCACACAGCACAAGACACCCTGGCAAAGGCTTCTTGCAGCGCCCCCACACGGTGGGCACCCCAAGCCTTTTGTCCTTCTCAAATATATTCCTTTATTGGTCTTTGCAGTCTCATGTCACAAAAGAACAGGATGAACACAAGGCAAATGGGGTTGGGCTAGGAGCACAGATGCGTAGTGGCCTTGAAAGCAGCTCTCCCCGAGTCTCTAGAACCTGCCATGTGTAATGAGACAGTCTTTGAGGAGGGGGCTGTCGGGTGGGAGGGTTTCAGCAGGTGCCGACGAGTGCCTTAAAACCGACTGGCTGAACACCTTTCCTCCCAGGCCTCTCTCTCTGGCCTGGAATCACTCAATTTGCTCAGTTCTTGCTGCCCGCCCGCTTGCTCGCTTGCTGCAAGGGAATGCGTGCTTAGAGAGACGACACTTCTGAGGTGGTACCCAGCTCTGGGCGCAGAGGAGCTGGGGTGGGGAGTTCAGGGGACCACACTTTCCTGTGGTGGTAAAGAACCAGGGGAAAAATGGGGGCAAGGGCAGCCAGCTAACAAGGGACCTTTGGCTCTGTCCTGGAAAAAACAACAGAGAGGACCAAGTGAGGGCCCCAACTCCCCCACCCCCACAAAGCACCATGCATATTCAGAGTACAGAGAGGCGACTCTAACATTCTATCCTCAAGGAATAAAAAAAGAACCCAAGTTGTTCAGGAGTCTTTTGCATAAGCAGGCAATGCAGCTTTACAATTAATTTCCTGAAAGGATTCTTCCTTGATTTACAAAGGATCCCCCCTCCCCAGAAAAGACCACATCATGCTGATTCCCCCCATTATAAAAAGGAAGAGAGTCACCATATGTGAATCAAAGGGTTGCCGTAATATAGCAATTTCGGGGACATTCCGTAATAGCAAAGGGCTTCAACTAATCAGCACAAGCCTCCCACTCCTGCGTTCCATCTGACTCAACCCTGCTCCCAGCCTACCTAATCACCCGGGCTTCTGGTTTCCTGAAGGACAAAAAGCAGGTGGTAAGTATCCTGGGTAAAATCCTCTCAAAGTCTTCCCCAATGTCCCGTCATGGGGGACTATGGGTTACCGTGATCAAGAGACACCTGAACATAAAACACAACTACACTTCCACCAAAAATAAACTCAAAACAAACACACAAAACAGAATTGAGCAATCTTACCAGGGCTTGAAAACTGAGGGTGTGAGGTGCTGGGCGGAGGGCCAAGAGGAGGAGGAGGGAAAACACAGAGTGGGTGGGAGCGGTGAGGGTTCCCGGGATGGGTGCCCGGACCTCCTCTGGCCGCGACGCCTCGCGTGTCCTCGCCAGGCGCAGGCGACCCCTAAGGCAGCTGGGGGCTCACCTTTGTATTGGGGAGTGAATTTGCGCATCTCAGCTGGGAGAGTCTCGTAGAACTGGTGCTCCCTGGGGACCAGGGGCTTGCACAGGGTCGTCTCGTTGAAGCGGAGCACACACGAGTGCCCCCCGACCTGGTGGACAAAGGGTTCCAGCAGGATGCCCTTGTCGCGGGGCTCCACGTCCATGGCCCTGAAGGCTGGGCTCATCCTCCAGGTGCGGGCAGCAGGGAGAAGGGGGGGCAGCGGGGTCCAGCGGCCAGCGCGTCCTCCGTCTGTCGTCTGTCCGTGCGTCCGTCTCTCTGGCCTCAGCTCCGCGGCTGTGTGGGCCAGGACGCTCTGCGGAGAGTGAAAACGGAGTTGGAAACAGCCGAGCACCGCCTCAGAGGCGCTGGCCGTCCTCTTCCAGCAGAAAAGACAAACAGCCTGAGCTCCCGTGGAGGCCCGCCCACACCGCCCACTCGGCCCCGCCCCCTCCCGCAGAAACAAACAGCCGCCGAGGTCCCGGGCGGGGCCGGATGGCGACTGGCAGGGACTGGCTGCGAACCCCAAACAGCTCCAATCACCCCCACCAGGCCTTAGAAGGTCACTACCACGGAGCCACGATGAGGTAAAATCACAATTTCAAACCTAAAAGTCGCATTAAATCTTACCATTTTCTACTACAATTGTTAGAGTAATTGACATCCAAGGCTCTCCGTTAATTAGTATATTTTAATAGACTTTATATTTTACAGCAGTTTTAGTTCATGACAAAACTGAGAAAATACAGAGGTTTCCCACATACCCATCTGTCCCACACATGCACAGACAGCCTTCTCCATTATTAATGTACCACTCCTCCATCAGAGTGGTACCCTGGTTACATATGATGATGAATCTAACACAGCATAGTTTACATGGTGGTAATAGGGTTCCCTATTGGTCGTTATTTATGTTTTTATTAAATGCATTTAAAAGGAAACCTGCTTATGCACCACCTAGTAAGATTACCCACCATCCGCCCACCACAGGTGTGCGCACTGTCCCGGCTCAAGGCCAAAGACAAGCCCCATTAACCTTATTAGCAGTGGAGCTTGGGCCCAGCTTTAATGATTAACCTCTGTATCTAAAAACAACAGATCACACTTGCTAACTCCTTTGAAAAAGATACACAGTGTTCTAGGTCACAGACTATTTTTATTGGTTCTCTCCCTATCTCCAAAAGCTGGGGCACACCTTTAAACCAAAGTTGCATTCTTGGGACACTTGTCCAGAGGTCCAGGAACTTCGGATCCCCAAGCACACTGGATCTCAGCAAAGCACACCTCCACGCATTAGTGAACCGTTTCAGGGTATGTCAGGCTCATTCTGTTTTCTGTCTAGAATTTACAGACTACACAGGTGCTACTAGCAATACTAACAGGGGGGCTTGGGCTATATTTCAGTATCTATAAGGGGTTCTTACTGGGAACTCCTCCAATTCCCATGACTCCAAATGAGATGGTGGTGGTGGTGGTGAGAATGGGTCGGATGGACATTTGCCCACTGTCCTCTAAGGTGGGTAAAGCACCAACTCTGTGCTAGGTTCACTGCAGGGACTTAATCCGATCCTCTGGATACTTTCTGTGAGGAAGACATTATTCTCCCTGTTGGAAACAAGGAAGTTGGTTGGAGGAGCTGAGGAAACTCATCCAGGGCTAGAGCCAAGAAGCTGGAGTTTCCAAACAAACTTCAATTTGTTGGCTGTCCCTCCACAGCTGCCTCTGGGGCCAGGGTCTCTGGCACATGTGCTTTGGTACAGCACTCAGATGTACATGGGACACTTAGCTTGTCCTGTGATAGTGTTTTCACCGTGTTTTTATATTTTCTATTTATAAAACAGCCTCTTTCAAAGAGTTTGGCTGGTGTTTCTCTTTTCCTTTCAGAGAGAACTGACAGTGGGCTCCCACTGGACTCAGGGATTAAAAATCAATATGCTTTCCTATATGCAAAGAGCAGAAAATCAAAGGTTCTGATATCTCACACCCGGCACTACCTTCTCATTACAGAAGCCCTCAGGAGGGCAGGTGCTGAGAAGAGTCCCAAGACACAACACAGGTGATCAGCTAGAAGGATGAGTACCTTCCAGCCATTCCAGACTCTCTACAGAAGGTGGAGCTCTGAGATGTGTGGCCACACAAGCCCTTTAGAGTTATAGAGACCTATTCACACCAGTTTTTCAGTAATGAAAAAGACCTCTGGAGTAAGAGCAACCCCAAAGGAAAGTTACTGACTCATGATCAGTCTGCCGGTACCCAAGAAAGAACTAGGTACCATAATTATTAAATTATGAAAGCACAAGATGTTCTTCATCGGCCAGGCTTTAGAAACACAGTTCAAACCTTTCATAAATGTGAAAACTCTTTTTGTTGCCACAGCAATGCTAACACCAAATGCCTAACACCCTTCCTAATAACTGTTCAAGATTCCTTAAATATATTAAAAAAAAAAAAAAAATCTCTCTCCAGGCATCTCTCTTACTCATTCCCCACCTCCAGTGAAAAATCCCAAAAAGTAACTGGTCCTTCATGGCAGCTCTCTAGAGTACGGTTCATGGGTGTGGCTGGAGGCTGAAAAGCCCAGTGAGGGGCTCCACCTTCTCCCAGGTCTCCCGTGTGTTCATTAGTGGCTGGAACCTTGGCACCCTCCCTCCAGCACCCAACTCAGGCACTTCTCAGAACACTGCTTCCTGGAGAAGAATCACCACCCTGCGGAGTGGCAAGAAAACGAAGGCCCTTTCCCGCCTGTGCCAAGTCTGATGACGGAGGAAAGCCCTACATGGCAGAACCAGGGAGAACACTGACCCTGTAGTAAGGTGGAGCCAGATTCCGGCCCCAGTTCTGCCATTTCATCTCTTGGAGAAAGACCCCCGCGTCACCGGCTCCCTTCGGGTCCCAGGTTTCTGGTCTCTACGGTGGGAAGGAAGACTTGGGGCAGACATCTACTCTGAGGGCCTCCCTGGTGGCTCAGTCGGTAAAGAATCTGCCTGCAGCGCAGGAGATGCGGGTCCAATCCCTGGGTCAGGAAGATCCCCTGGAGAAGGAAATGGCAACCCACTCCAGTATTCTTGCCTGGAAAATTCTATGGACAGAGGAGCCTAGTGGGCTACACAGCCCATGAGGTCACAAAAGTCAGACACGAGTTATCAACTAAACCACCACCAGATATCTACTCTAAGTGTGGTATAATCCAATTACTGAGTGGCAACCAGCAGTATGTTTTAATCAAATAGGAAAAAAAAAAAAAAAGAGCAAAACCCATTGCATCGCAGATAATAAGGTAAGGCCTGCTTTCTGATTCTTTTATTTCAATCATGTTCGGCCTCTCAATTTGAAGATAACTGTGGCTTCACTGTACAACATATTTCTCACATTGGGGCTGCAGAGAAATGGAGCATTTGTTCTAGGGTCCCTGAAAGATTGCATGCCTGTGGGAAAATGAAGGAGCAATTTCCCAATGATTATACCACAGATCGGAGAAGGAAATGGCAACCCGCTCCAGTATTCTTGCCTAGAGAATCCTGTGGACAGAGGAACCTGGTAGGCTGCTGTCCATAGGGTCACACAGAGTTGGACACAACTGAAGCGACTTAGCATGCATGCATGCATTGGAGAAGGAAATGGCAACCCACTCCAGTGTTCTTGCCTGGAGAACCCCAGGGGCAGAGGAGCCTGGTGGGCTGCTGTCTATGGGGTCGCACAGAGTCGGACACAACTGAAGCCACTTAGCAGCAGCAGCAGCATACCATAGATCAGCTTCTTCTCTAGTGGCTTCAACCTGGTCAGAAGAAAAGAAAAATGCCCCCAAGAACTTGCTGCATTTCACGGCTACTCTTTTCCCACGTGTGGTTTGAGCAGCTGGGTCTCTTAAAGGTTTTTCAACATCTGAGTAGTCTAAGGCCTGGTTTCCCAGGAATCCTAAAACATTAATGGTTACTAAGAAGTCCATGTGATGAACCCTGAACCTAGTGTGAAAGGGAATAACCGGAAAATACTGACTTCATGTTTAGCATCTGTTTTAGTTTTCCACATTGCCTCACATTTGTCCACAAAACTAGCAATCGGTGAGAAATGCAGAACGTGATTCATCCTAGGATACGACACATATTTCCCCCACAGCTCATGCCCCTAAACCTGTTTAAGGTTCTGCTGCAAACAATGTCTTAATAGTCTTATCCTTTAAAATACTGAAAATAAAACAACTAAGACCCTTGGGCCCTTAGCTCACACATCTAGAATTTGATTAATGTGGGAGGCTACAGACGGGATCTGCTGGGGCCACTTACTCTGCCTCAAGAAAAGCCCCAGGGTTGAGCAGTCACAGGGGACAGCAACAAAACAACCTTTACCAGCTGAACCTCCTCCATGAGCCTCAGAGCCAGTGCCCACATCCATTCACAACCCATGACTATACCACCAGAGTCAGTCACTGTAATTCTCAAACACTGCTGGTAGGAAAAAAGAAGTACAGCCACCACAGAAAACAGTTTGGCAGTTTCCTATGAAGTTAAACATATACTTATTATATGACTCAGTAATCCTACTCACAGGTACTGACCTAAGAGAATTGAAAACAAATGTCCACATAAGGACTTGTACTCGAATGTTCACAGTGGCACTATTCACAATAACCAGAAGGTGGGGAAAACCCCAGTGTCCATCAAATGGGGGAATGAATAAACCAACTGTGATGTATCCATATAATGGAATATTGTTCAGCAATAAAAGGAATGTACCGATATACACAACAACAAAGATTGATCACAAAAGCATTATGATTAACTGAAAAAAAGCCAATCACAAAAGAATGTATGCTGTATGATTCCATTTACATGACATTCAAGAAAAAGCAATAGCAGAAAGTAGATAAGTAGTTGCCAGGGGGCAGAGGGTAGGAGAACAGGACCAACTGCAAAGAGGCCCAAGAGAACATATAGGGGTAATGAAAATGTTCTATGCTGTGACTGGAACAGTGATTATATGGCTGAATAAATTTGTCAAAACTCATCAAATTAGAGACTTAATGTCAATGAATCTTACTGTATATAAATTATATTTCAATAAAGAGCTTGAATTTTTCCTTATACTTTAATTTATAAAAATTTCATAACAAGTACAAATTAAAATAATCAGAAAAGATTGCAGTTAAAAGACCCTATCAGCTGACAAATAGTTTCTACATGCAAAGGC